TCTACCAAGAGTCGCTAATACAGCATCGTTTGTGTATGTCAAGAATCATATGAATGTTGTAAATGATAATTATAAGATTCGTCACTCTTAGATAGTAAGAGATTATGATCAACATTTTACTCAGTTAAGTTAATAATGAGATCCCTGGCCAAGGTGAACTCATAAGTCAAAAAAGAGTTTTCGACTTCCATTGACTTAACATTCGATGAAAGATATGATCGGTACTTGAGATTGACACATATCCATATCTCATTATTGATTAGATCATATCGACGAAAGGATTATAATTTCACGATAAACAAACAAGTTTGGTTTGTTACATCACGTGATATTTCTCATCACATGTACTGTCCGACACATTACTAAATGTCAATCTAGGACGACGAATGTGAATTAGTGATAAATTAAATGGGGTGTTTTAATTTATCGATTTTGATTAGATCAAAATAATAATTCACGTCATTAAACATCGTGATCGGGGAACCGAATGGATCACACACAAAAGAGAACTAGAAGAATGAGATTTACCAATTAATTAATTGACAAGTGTTTAATAATTAATTAATTAGATTACTTATTAATATGTCCGAATTAATTAATTGGATTAATTAATTCATGGAACGGATTTAATTAATTTGATTAATTAAATATTGAATCGAGTTAAGTTCAGAGATGGGCCAAGCCCATTTGGGCTTATATTAATAGGCTACCGGGTTTGTAAAATGCAGAGAATTTTCATTATTCTTGCTAGCATAAGAAAAGAACCCCTAGCCGTCATTTTTGTTCTCAGTGTGGATCACCATTGGAGGTTGGAGAATTGGACGTGTTGAATTGCAGATCATGATCATTGGAGTTTGAGAATCAGCAAAAGAGTTTGCAGAATTTATCAAAGGTATAATTCTTATCACAGTTTCTATCTAAACACATTGCAAATCTTTGGTGGAAATTGAAAATTGTTTTATTTCTGTTGTGCATGATTAAGTAAATTCCCTACAAAGGGCACATATTAAATTAGTTGGAAACCTTCGACATTGAGTTCCAGAAAGTATTTTGAAACCTATCTTCTTTGATTAGCTTCTTATTTGTGCCAATGACTAAATTATAAATCAAAATTCCGTTTGAAGAATTTGAAAATTCACTACAAAAGAGAACTAGAAGAATGAGATTTACCAATTAATTAATTGACAAGTGTTGAATAATTAATTAATTGGATTACTTATTAATATGCCCGAATTAATTAATTGGATTAATTAATTCATGGAACGGATTTAATTAATTTGATTAATTAAATATTGAATCGAGTTAAGTTTAGAGATGGACCAAGCCCATTTGGGCTTATATTAATAGGCTACCGGGTTTGTAAAATGCAGAGAATTTTCATTATTCTTGCTAGCATAAGAAAAGAACCCCTAGCCATCATTTTTGTTCTCAGTGTGGATCATCATTGGATGTTGGAGAATTGGACATGTTGAATTGCAGATCATGATCATTGGAGTTTGAGAATCAGCAAAAGAGTTTGCAGAATTTATCAAAGGTATAATTCTTATCACAGTTTCTATCTAAACACATTGCAAATCCTTGGTGGAAATTGAAAATTATTTTATTTCCGTTGTGCATGATTAAGTAAATTCCTTACAAAGGGCATATATTGAATTA